GCAATCAACGCGATCTGCACACAGAACATAACCATTTGAAATATGTTTTTTTCTTTTTTTTGGGAGGTCGTGAAAAGTCGCGGAACTTGGGCAAACTCAGCAAATTGATGTTCACTTTCATAATCGAGTAGTATTCAAAGTATTCATTCGATGAGGAAAAGAGTAAAACGAGTGCTGGCCACTGAATACGTGCGCATAGTTTCAGCTTCTACTCGTTTGGCTAATGGGGTCAATTGTACAATTAATTTATAATTTTTCACAAGCTGCTGCTTCATGGCAAGTTGCCCGAAAGCTGGGCGAAGGGAGGTGGGTGGGCTAGTTAGGGTTGCTGGGTTATCTGCTTTGAAGTTAAGGTTGTTTTTGTTATTACTTGTTTTTTTGTTTACTTATGTTTTAATTAAGTACGCTTTCTTAATTACTGTGCTTGTTGACAAAGGTGATTAGTCAAAGGTACGGAAATTGAAAAACCATTAACTCAATATTATTTCGGTTGTGGTTTATTCCCCCCTCACTTCAAGTGCTTTTTTATGCAGTGCCATTGTCACGCTCGCTGCTGAGACTGTTGTCGTGATTCAAGCAGTTTCTAAAGTTTCCAACTTGATGACACAGTGTGCACATGTGCCGCCGATCCCAATCCTCGCAACTACATATAAATATTTGTCGTTGTTTCGACGCGTGCATACAAATTGCCGCATTCAATGCTAAATTGACATACCCTGTACTGCAACAGAAATAGGGGCACATTTGGATTGCGCCAAGCAACAGGTAAATTATGTCAAGAAAAAACTCATTTGCCATAAATATGATTATTATATGTTCAAGCTAAAGTGTAAATTTAAAGCACGATCTATAAGTCAACTCTTAGTTTTCTCACCGAGCTGTATGAAATATTAATGAATGAATACAAATGAATTAATTAATTAATACAGAGAATCTAGCAGTCGGGTGGTAATTCCCATTGGCCTGCTTGGCGTCTTGGGATTTTTAAATGAGTGGTTAGTTAGGCTACCTTCTATGTGAGTCTCTCGGCTAATTGCCATGCGATTTGGTTGTTTGTAATTTACGCAGTGCTTAGTTGCCTCAAGGCACGATGTGACATGATAAGAGACTAATAACTTTAACTTAATTAAAGGAAATGCAGTACATATCTAACTTGAGGCGTGTGAATTTAGATATTACTTTATACATTTAAGTCGCAACAATCAAGTTGTAGCAGACCTCTAACAGGCATTTGTGAGATGTGATCAGCTGTGAGTACGATAAGTATTTATTTAAAAATAGTAACAGTTCTCAGAGTTAATGATTCAGCTCACTAGTTAATGCGAATCTGATTCCATTTCCATTTACGAAACGAACTAATTTCCTGCTCACAACTACAATTTAAATTGATTGTTGTTGCACTTTTCATTTCCAATCAGTGGAACAAGCTTTCTACCTTTCTACCCACAAACAACAAAGCAGAACAGAAGCAGCAGTAGTAGCAGCAGCAGCAGCAGCAACAACAACAACAACAATACATAAAAAAGAATCGCTGAAGCGCAGCAGATCTCTTCCATATAGCTGCATCTCTCTCTCTCTCTCTCTCTCTCTCTCTCTCTCTCTCTCTCTATTTCTCGCTCTCTTTTTTCGCAGCGCACTTAACTAGCTGCATAAATATCAATTAAAGTGCCGAGAATACAACAAGCAAAGCCAAATAGGGACCACTACAGGGGTCTGCATAAAGCTCGATGCTTTAAAACTCAATTACCGGTCACTTAATTACCAAGCTAGAGCGAGAGAGAGAGAGAGGGAGAGAGAGAGAGAGAGAGCGCACGCAATCATTCAAAATTTGCATTCAACAAGTTGCGCATTCGCTTCTCATTTTATTTCATTCCATGCAGATGGCCATGAAGCTAAGCTGACGCCCAAACTGGCTGCGATGCGATGCATGCGTGTCGCTCGCTCTCCTTTGCACTCTCATGCACATTCGCACACACAAAAGCTGGCCACGCAAGTGTGACGCGTTTTGTAGCTGTTTTTGTTGTTGTTGATGTTACGAGTCTGGCTAGCAAAGCTTTTTAACCTTCTCTTCGCTCTCTCGCTCAGGTTATGTAAATAAACACACACATACACACATACAATTATATGAGGAGTGGGCGTCGCAGACTTTAGGAATTCTTTTATAAATTTCGTTTTTTTTTCGGCTCTTCTACAATTTGGTTGTAGTTGTCTTTATTGGGGAAGCGTGTTGCGAACAAAACGAAGTGAAACAAAAGCAGCAGCAGCAACAACAACCAGTTTCGGTTGGTTTTGTTTTCGACTGCAGAAGAGCTAACGGTGCTTAACGTCACCTACTTTTTACTCAGTTTTTGGTAAATAAAATACCTCATTCCTCATGTGTGTGTGTGTATGTGTGCTTCTAACTGTCAAACCGGTTCGAACCATTTGTGCATTGAAAACGAAATGATTTTGAATATATAAAAAGCCGAGTTGAGTGGCCCCGCTGCGATTTGGCCAACTTATCCAACTTATCGAATGTCCCTTTTCTGGGTCGTACAATAAAAGCTTTCTTATGCTTGTCAATAGTCAATATATTTGCTTTTATAGTAGTAAATAGATGAATATTATATTATATTTATTACATTCTATATTTACCGCTCTTAACTGACTGCTGTCTTCTAAGTAAAGTCGACATTTGCATATTTTAGCCAACTCCGTGTGACTTGGCTTAGTTATGTGAGCGATAAGACGCCAAGACGTGCCCATAACCAAAACTTTGTCTTTCTGTAGTCGGAAGACTGAACTCAATAACGAAACTGTCTGTCTGTCTGTCTCTCAGTCTGTCTGCCTGTCAGCTGAAGAGCGCGTGCCATGGCCATATGGTCAGATCATCAAATTCCAATGTATTCTCGCAAATATTGTTATAATAATGGTTATTATACAAGAATATAATATAATATAAAAACATATATTCTCAATTTTCGTTTAATTGTTTCAAAAACTCGTAATTACTTAAATATTTGCCAGAGCAAAAAGATACAAATCTCGTAACTTAAAATGTATCAGAATTACAAGAATTTATCTAAATGACCCTATGGCACAAAATAATGTTTGTATTCTCATATAAAGGGGCAAGATAACGTCTTGTAGAGTAAGTATGTATGTATATATATCAAGTATTTATGTGGAAGTGTCAAAGCTGCATTCGTTTGATAAAACTAGATACTAAGTTTGAGAATTAACTCCGATTCCGTAAATATTTCCGTATAAATTTGACTGCCTTTCATGCAACACATATATATATATACATATATATAAATATACGTATAATGGGCCACTTATCGGAGAACTCATTGAATATGCATTCGAAAATAACAGTGCATCGGAACATAGACAGATATGTGGCTCCTTTGAATTGAGGGCGCTACACAGAAAAAAAAACCTTTAATTATTACTTACAACGTTATGTTATATTTTTAGCATATTATCGTATTCTGCCATTTTTTATTTCACTCTATGTATTTAATTTAAGGACTTCAGACTGAGTATTAGTTATTGAAGACTCAACTGTAGATCTTCAGATATATTTGTATCTGATTAAAAGTTTTAATATTCTTGTACTTAAATCATTTATTTATCGATTTTTTTCATAATTTATGCAAAAAAAAAGTGTAACGAAAAGTGGTTAAAATTCAGCTCGTCGAGTTTACCTTTTAGTGTGCTCATGCACAAAAAGAACGGCTTAAAATTTACATCGTTTTATCTGTTTTGGGCTGGGAAGGCGGCCAAGAGAGACGCATTGCAAAAAAAAAAAAAAAAAACATATATAGATAATTATATTTTACAACGCTAGCCGGTAATTAAAGCAATTTAAATTACCCTCAGTCACGCCAGGTAACAAGTGCAACAGCAACAAGGGCAGGGGAAGGGGCGCAGTAGTATGGGAAATGGGGAAAAATGCAAAAGTTTGCAAAGTTTGCGGCGAAAATGTGCAGTTCTGTGTGATAAGAGCCGTGAGTTTTTCTAACCGTAAATTGTAATTAGTAAAAGCGCCAAGCAATTTGAAAACTTTAGATTTCTTGCTTTCGCAGCGATTGTCGCCAAATGTCGCAGTGCAGTTTGCAAAAAAAAATTGCAACTGCCAAAGTGGCATTTTAATGGGCCAACTTAAACAGTTTAACAGGCAAAAAAATAACAGAAAGAAAGGAAACCACTCACAGACGCTGACGTCACCCAACACACTCCAGCTCCCATTGGTGGGTGTGTTTAGATGTCATATTGTCATTGTAACTTAACCTTGGCTAAAAGCCTCGCATGCTTTAATTTGGCAAGAGGAGAAAACGGTTTCTCAGCCCGACGACACGCAAGTGGATTTTATTTAATTTGTTCCATTTCGGGTGGTAAAAGGTCGCATTTAGATACTGACCTAAAAGCTAATTACCACTCGCATTTTAGCCAAGTTGTGTGTGTGTTTTGGGTGCAGCCGTCTCTGTCATGTGTGTGAGAGTCAGATGACCTATCCAGGTGACCTATAAACGCCGAGAGAAGGAGGGGGAGCGGAGGGGGATTAGAACAAAACACGCAAGCGCCAATGCTTTTAACTGCCATCAAATCAAATGCGCAACTTAATAAATATTTACTACTTAAGATTTGACAAAAAAAATAAATAGGATAAAACCTGAGTTTCTTATTATCCAGTGTTCACTGTACTCGCTTTGCCATGAGCTTCAAATCTGCACTGGTCAGCAAAGATTGCGCCATCTGGGAGAGAGTGATTTATTAGCTGAGTCATCAGATAAGCAAACGGGATAAACAAATGCCAGGCAGGTAAAAATAACAGGCAAATTCCGTTGAAAAGCTTAGCGCGAGACTCCAACTGAGTACTTACGACTTGCTGCTGATTAGGAAAGCTCATATTAAATGCAAATGCATGCAAAAGTAAACAAAAGAGACAAAACAAAAAAGAACAAACAAAAAAACAGAGGCGAAAAAATGCCATCCAACCTGTAGACAAGTCTAACCTGTTGCTGCTGCTGCTGGTGCTGCTGCTGCCAACGCTTACGCCGACGCAAGCCACAGAACCTTAACTTGAAAGCTCGGCTCCGCTCTTCTCGCTAACACACACACACACACACACGAATTCACACTCACACAGATAGGAAGAGGCGCTCTCCCTGACACACACAGAGACACAGCCAGGTAAGCTTAGGCGCAACACGTCTCGCAAGAATGAATGATCGTCATGTATGTGAGTGTAATTTTTTTTCTTAAAGTTTACACTTTTTCGCGGATACTTTTTGCACTTGCATTTACGTGTGTAGCTTTAGATAACGAAATTTAAATCGCGTGGCATTTTACTATGCACACAAACACACCAACACTGCCCGGCAAGCTGCACATGTATGTGTATTATTTATGCATATGTTTTCCATTTGTAAGTCGAGCTTAAAACGGCGATTCGTCTTTTTTTTATAACTTTTAACTGATAAAATCAGATATATATAATCATATACAGATTTGTAAGTTGCCCACCTTTGAATTTGCGTTGAATTTCTGTTATTTTATTCTGTCGATATGCAACATTTTGAGCGTTGAGTTTAAAAAAACATAACTTTTATACTTGAAGTGAAGTTCACAACTTTTAACTACGCGCTACACGTCCGTCCCGTTTGGTGTTGTTTATGCATCTAAAAGAAATGTTTATCTTACGTTAAACAGCGTAACATTAACGATGGCGGCATTATAAAACCTGTTAACGCAAAAATGAGAAAGTTAACGCACTGTTAACTTGACTATCAAGTGATATCGGTACACCAACTCCAGATGGCATATGTTAAGTGAGGAGCACTTCTGTTTGTTGTGGCCAATACCGCGCTTCTGCTTGGTGTGGCCAATACCGCGCTTTTGTCATTTTGTTCAAAATGTTTTGTACAAAATGTTTGATCAGTCAGTGTTTTTCCTATTGTCGATTGTTTCTATTTCATTGCTTACTTCGCATAAGCCAGTTATCGAAAGCAAAGTCGAGCATCGAAACACACACACACATATATATATATATATATATATATATATATATACATATGTATATTTTCATAATTTGTCATTGTATGCGATTCATTATCTTTGCTTTTGCTGTCGGTATTTCACTGTTAGCTCTTCAATTTTGCGCGTCTAACTTTTAATTAGAATTGAGAAGGAAAAGAAAAGGCAAATCAAGCTTAAATTTGCTGAATTCAATTGTACTCAATTAACAAGGTAAGTTGTATTATTAATTGCTGAAAATATGTTATATATATTAATATTAAATATTATCTGAATAGTAAATAGCATCGATCACTTTTCTGGCTCAAGTCGCCGCTAATACACACGCAAAGACACACAAACACATTTCGTCGCTCTCTGTCTTGTAGAAATGGCACCAAAGAAAACAAACGGATTCATGATATTCGTGAACGAGTGGCGCAAGGGCCGCAACATTTCCATCGCCCAGGCTGTCAGTCACTGCGGCGACATCTGGAAAGTGAGTGTTAGAAAGTGCGTTAATTTTACCTAACAGTCGGTTTTTTGAAATGCAGAATATGAGTGCACAGCAGAAGGGGCCGTACAATGGATTCGCAAAGGACGCCAACGTCTCGGCCCGTGCCAAGGTGGAGCCATTAGACTGCCATGGCCGTCCTCTGTCCGCCGTGGAGCGTGAGAATTGCGAGGCTGCTGAGCGAGAGATGAATATGAAACGCAACATCGAGCGAATTGTGCTGGAAGGAAAGGCGCAACACGGTGAGATCTATGGGGTATATTCCTTCTATCTGCTGATTACTGACTACTGATCGAAATCCGTTGCTTCACAGATCTGGAGAACACCAAGTTCATATTTGCGGCCTTTAATTACTTTACCAAAGCAATTGGAAACGATATTTACATGCCGGCCGAATTTGCCGCTTGCAAGTTCTCGCTGCGGTCCGGAAGGGGCCCCGTCTACAGCTCGCATATCAATCCGGGCCAGCTGATCTTTGGCCAGGCCAGCGACGCACAGCATCACACGTCGACGACGCACCAGTTACCCCTTCCGCCCAAAGCTATGGGCGAATCCAACATGGGCAGTCTCTATGTGAATATTGTGAAGTATTTGCGTGACTGCCAAGGCGCAGGCAATCCCCTCGTGGTGTTCACCACCGCTGAACTGATGCCTGTGGTAAGTGGCTGCTTTAGGTACCTGCAGAGCGACAGTGATGAGGTGGGCGAGCAGATTCACGTCTACGACATCCTGTACCTCTTCTACGTGCTCAAGAAGGAGGTCATGGACATTGCCGACCTGCCGCACGCCAACATCAACAAGTGCATCACGGACAACTTCTTCTTCAATGATTTCTTCGAATATTACTCGAACATCGCGTGTCAGGTGAGTGGTACCCATTCCATATCTATAAATGTATATAATAATTGCTTGCCATTTGTAGTTTCACGAGGACAACGATCGGGGCAAGTATTGCACACACTCAATGGTCTCCCGCTGGTGTTACACGTTCTGCGACTATATGTGTGGGGATCTGGCCATTAAGCCGTTGGCAGGGAAGCACATGCCACCTGTGCAGGAGCAAAAGTTTTGCGTGACTAATCCGGACAAGTCTATGTGTGGGAATACGTCGTACAACTCGGTCAGCTCGTGGCATTCGGATGTGAAGCAAGAGCCGGACTCGGATTATACGCCAGAGGATCATTCCGTGTTCTCGGCCAATTTAACTGCAACGGAGGAGTTTCCCAGCTTGAGTGGTCGCAGACCCAAGCCAACCCATCGCCATCCTCCGCCCCAGAAAGGCGCTTGGAATGTTCCTGCCGCAAAGCGAAGTGCACGCGATTTTGATGACGCATTCAACATGACACGTTGATGACATTTTCAATCTAAAAGAATTTCTGAATTTTTCAAAACATTCCTCAATGAATTTATTACGTATATTTTAAGTTTATTAACTGAAGATTAGCATAAAGCACAAAATATGACTATAAAAACTAGGCATTTAACATAACTACATAATAAATATGAATATATATATATATGTAACTTCTGAAGGTGGAAGAGGCGTGTCATCAGGAATGAAACAAATCAAAAATGGCGGATATAAACCTATATGTTCGGGTAACGCAACGCACAGTTGGACCGAGTGAGACATCTATAAATTTCTACATTATGTATTTATGAGTGTAGTTCTATGTGAAAAAGTTGGTACGCAGATTCGGAAACAGTCTGCAAACATGGTCCTTCTCCAGTGGGATACATTTCAAACAAATCGACCAGTTGTTGCTGAGAAAGACACCCAGTTTCTGACGAGGTTGTTGATGGGGTTGGGACTAACTTCCGTAAAAGACCAAATTGCAATTCGCTCATAAATTTTAGTCAATGGAGCTGTCCTCCATTGACGCTCAAATTTAAATTAATTATTAAAAAAACAAGTGTGAAAGTTGCTATCGGGCGTAGCCGACTTCAAAATACTCTGATGCCAATGATTAATACACGGTGTGACAGAACAGAGTGGGTGTTGCCAAGAAATACCGTTCTTTGACGAGGGTTCCAAGTTGGCTTTCAAATTTCGTTGGTGCCGTGAGTTGGCTTTGTCCAAAGTTTCAAGGTTCTAGCCTTAAGGGTGTCGACCCTATAAGAGCATAAGAATCAGCTGAAAACACTGACAGCAGACCAAATTGAATAAATTTATCAAACAGTCTACTTGCAAATTCATATTTAAACAACGTACCTTTCTATACTTTTCGCAAAAACAAATAACAATTCGGCTTATTTTATGACAATGGCGCAAATCAAATATTATTAATACCTATTATTAAAAAACACCTAAGTAATGCAACTGACTTATTTAAATTATAGAATTGCCTATATAAACCCTGAAATGTATGAGGTATAAACAGTTATACGTTTCGAAATGAGGTTTTCTTTGGCACTGCTACTTGGGGCTTTAAGCCTATTGCTTATGGCCCAAAACTCTAATTGCTCAGAGACTGATGACGAAGGAGTTGAAGAAGGCGAAAACAATATTGACGATGAAACTGATGACGAACAAGGAGAAGAACCTGATGAAGATCTTGATTCCGACAATGACGATACCAATGAACAGGAAACAACTCCCTCTTCAGCTCCATCACCAACACCATCTGGAAATGATGGTAAGGTTCCTGAATCCGATAATGACAACACCCCTACAGCTTCATCACCCACACCATCTGGAAATTATGGTAAAGTTCCCGAATCCGATAATGGCGATAACAATGAACGGGACACAACACCCCCTACAGTTCCATCATCAACACCATCTGGAAATGATGGTAAGGTTCCTGAATCCGATAATGACAACGCCCGTACAGCTCCATCACCCACACCATCTGGAAATGATGGTAAGGTTCCTGAATCCGATAATGACGATAACAATGAACGGGACACAACACCCCCTACAGTTCCATCATCAACACCACCTGGAAATGATGATAAGGTTCCTGAATCTAATAATGACGATAACAATGAACGGGACACAACACCCCCTACAACTCCATCACCCACACCATCTGGAAATGATGGTCAGGTTCCTGAATCCGATAATGACGATAACAATGAACGGGACACAACACCCCCTACAGTTCCATCATCAACACCACCTGGAAATGATGATAAGCTTCCTGAATCCGATAAGGACAACACCACTACAGCTCCATCACCCACACCATCTGAATATGATGGTAAAGTTCCCGAATCCGATAATGGCGATAACAATGAACGGGACACAACACCCCCTTCAGCTCCATCATCAATACCATCTGGAAATGATGGTAAGGTTCCTGAATCCGATAATGGCGCTACCACCCCATCATCTAATCCGAATGGAAAAATTGAAAAAGAAAAAGTAAAAACTAAGAAAAGTAAAAAAGGTAAGACAAAGTTGCTGAATCCGATAATGGTGATAACATTAAAGAGAAATCAACAACCCTTTCAGGTCAGCTGAACAAAAAATCCCGGCGCCAGGCGAAAAGAAATCCCGCAAAAGGACGAATAACAACCCCCAGAGCTAGGCGAACACAAAATGTTCCCAACAAGGCAAATAGCAAAACCCAGAGAAAGGCGAAGAATAATCCTAAAAAGCAGGCGAAAAAAAAATCCCACAAGACTAATGCCAAGCGCCAAGTGAAAGGAAACCGTAAAGCAAGGAAACGATAGGGAAGCGAAAGGAAAATCAAACAATAATCTCAGAAATGTAAGGAAACAAATTTTGTAACTTCGATAATTCTTAATTTTATTTACTCTTCACGATCTGAATTTGAATCAGGTTTATTATTCAAGCATATGTTATTGTGGCTTCGATACTCTCTTTTCGGGACAAATAATACCAGTACGGGTATTACTATATTAAATAAATTATGAATTGTGGTTCTGAACAGGAGATTCTGAATTTCAATCAGTGAGGATGCGGTTCCGATTCCGCTCTGACACCCTGGCTGTATGCGTTAGACTTTGTTAAAGACTTTGATTTATACATTTTACAACACTTCACCGTGATCAGTTGAATTTGAATTAGCAGCTTTTATATTTATTAACATAAATTGGCACTCGCTAAAGTAACAACTGTAATTTCATTTAGCTTCAAGGCAAGCCTAAAATGTTTTAATCACTACGTATACAATATGGTGCGACTGAAAAGTGTTGGTCAAAGTTTTGTCACTTAACATGCAGATTGGTAACACTTTTCAATATGCTTATATATATATATATATATAAATATATATATATATATATATATATATGTGTGTGTATATATACATATACTCGTCGATTGGCACATCGATTGAAAACTGAACGTCATGTCTAAGGTGGAGAAGAAATATATTGTTTGCGTTCCGGACGTTTCGGAGTTGTTGCCGATTCGCGAGTATAAATGCAAATACGGATGCCGGAAGGCTTACAAGAATCGCATGCCTTACATTTCGCACTTGCAGAAGATGCATGGGGATGTCATCAAGGATATATATCAATACTATCAATGCCCCGACCTAGACTGCGATTATCGGAGTGACGGTCTGCACAAGGTGCGGAAACATTATCAAAACTGCCACATCGAGAAGCAGATAAAGTGTGGAGATTGTGGTCGAACCTTCCTCATGATGTCGCAGTTGTCGAAGCACAGATGCGGATTCCAAAAGTACACTTGCCTCACGTGCCCCAGTACTTTTCAGAGTCTGTGTATGCGCAATAGGCATGTGCAACTGTGCATTAGAAAACGGGCAAATTATCCTAAGTTGTCAATGAAGGAAACCAAGGACAAAACTTTCGAAAACGGTATGAAATTATTCGAAAAGGTAGAGAAAAACAAACACAAATATTATGTCAACTTTTTGTAGATAAAGAAAATCAATCTCTAAAGTCTAAAGTGCATTTGAAATTCAACGCAGAAGAGAAGGAGAAGCATTTAAAAGCCAATGATGACATAACTATCGAGGAAATCCAGCAACTAATGCGTAATATTGAGAACAATATCGTCACAGACACCGCCTTGATCAATGAGCTCGCCAAATTGACCCCAGTGCTGCTGAGATTGCAATCGGGCAACTGAATTGAATTTTAATTGCTTTGTATGCTCTTGCTTGGGGATTTATTTTATTTCAATTTATTTAAGGATAAGTGAGGATCTATCTTTTGTTGCTGTACAGGAACTATCTATTATTTTACTTGGTTTATCTTTTATATTACTTTGTTTATCTTTTATATTACTTTGTTTATCCTTTATATTACTTTGTTGTTTTTTAATAGTAATCGTATAAATACTATAAACACATATAGAGTTTTTTATAACCAGTTTTCCTTTTGATTTTGTGGTTAATACAAATTGATTGCTTCTGATGTTAATTGATTCCTCAATACGACGAAGCGACGTTTTACTGGATAGACATTAAGGTGGCTAGTCACCAATAACTTATTAAATCAATTGATCATTATAAAATAATAAAAATTGGTTTCCATTTCAAAGTGGCCGAAGCTGTTTCCCACGATATTCTTTATTTACTTTCAATTCTTAACAACCTAAAATATAAAAAGCAAATATGGTGGTGATCCTATGATTTAAAATAGTATATTTATATCATTATCAATATTATACATAAAATGCTTAAATATTTTTGAGCTTTTGAACCGGGTGGTGGCAACATTTCTGCTTCTCAATTTCAAATAATCAATAGTAATTGAAAAATATGTTCAAATATTTTGATAAATGTTACTAAATAAAAAAAACCGAACGAGTGGACAGGTCTACCAAAACGAACAACGTACAATATTAACAGCTGGTCACCCATGTTATTAACAGTACCCGTAATTGGCATCAAAATAAAATGTAATCTTTGATAAAAAGAAACGTGAACTAACCATAATCTTGAATTGAATTATGTTTTTTATAATTGCGAAATATGAGCTTATGATTTATTAACGACAATTAATGTTGCTACTTTACACACAGCTGTTAATCGTCACTGTAAGTTACTAGTGACGGGTAACACTTAAGCATAAACTGCTCATCTCTAACGTGAACGTGGAAGAAACTGGAACGAAAACTACACGTCAAAAATTCCTAAAACACAAAAGTAGCGAAAACAAGCATTTCAATTTGCATACAAATATTAAAAAAAACAATAAATAAAATTGCCATAAGAAACGTACAACGAGCAATTGCAGCATCAACTGCCAAATCAATAAAGCCAAAGTGAACGAGAAGGCGAAGAGGACGAGCCAGCCACGAAATCAGTTTACAAATCTATAATCATATCCATAATCCATAAAACACAATCCGTAAACGAATTGGGGACAAATCAGTCCAATAATGTCTAACAATGCAGCGGGGCCCACAAAACAGGAAATCGAAGGCGTATTCAGTCGCCTGCGGGCGCAGCCAGCCAATAAGGTCAGCCAGTCAAAATCAGTTTGTGAAGTTTATATAAAAAAAAATGGATGTCTTATTTTGTTGTTGCAGTCCTGCTTCGATTGTGGCACAAAGGCGCCCACCTGGTCGTCAGTCACTTATGGCATCTTCATATGCATCGATTGCTCTGCGGTGCATCGCAATCTGGGCGTGCATTTGACCTTTGTGCGCAGCACGAATCTGGACACCAATTGGACCTGGTTGCAACTGCGACAAATGCAGCTCGGCGGCAATGCAAATGCAGCACAATTCTTTCGCTCCCACAACAGCAGCAGCAGCGATGCCCAGGTCAAGTACAATTCTAGAGCGGCACAGCTGTACAGGGATAAGCTATCGTCGCTCGCCCAGCAGGCAATGAAAGTGCATGGCACCAAGGTGAGCAGCTGCCTCCATTTACTTTTGTTTGTCTTTTTTTTTTCGTTCTTTTGTTTGGATTTTATGCTTAAAACTAACACAAAACATTTGCTGTTCTCGCTTGCGCCTCGCTTGTGTCTTGTTTATCTGTTTTATTCTGTTCCACTCACAAACCAAAACATCAAATTTAAAGCTGCATTTGGATCCAACCCTGGACAAGAGCGAGGGAAATGATGCTGCCAAGGAGCTTTCGGAGGAGCAGGAGCAGGAGGAGGATTTCTTTGCGCAGTGCGATAATAATAATGCCAACGCCCAGCTGGAGAACAACAACATTAGCAACGTGAAGGTAAACCGAACAAGAAAAAGACACGCATCTCTCTTCGTTGTTTAAAGTTGAAGTTGATTTGTTTGCATGCCTTCATAAGGTGATCTCGGCTCGATACTAATCTGTATACCCCACAGCTGGATATCAAGTCTACATCGGCTACGGCTCCGACGGAGTCTGCTGTTGGAGCACCCAGCGTGGATCTGCTGAATTCGCTTGTGACGCCAGCAGCGATGCCCTCATCCATTGGGGTGCGCAAGATTCAGCCCAAGAAGGGAGCAGTAAGTAAATGCCGATAATCTCAAACGATAACTAATTCATATACACATCCCCAACGATTAGTTGGGTGCACGCAAGGTGGGCGGATTGGGTGCAACGAAAGTGACGGCCAATTTTGCGGACATTGAGGCGCGTGCGAATGCGGCAAATGAAAGTAAAACGGCAACAGCTGCTGCCCGGGCAATCGATAAGCCCCAAACGGCAGAGGAGGAGATGGAGAGTGTGGCCAGCATGCGTCTGGCGTATCAGGATTTATCGCTGCAGAAGACGCGCGAGGAGGCCAAGCTGAAGAGCATCGATCCCGCCAAGGCCAAGCAAATGGAGCGACTGGGCATGGGCTTCAGCCTGAGGGGCTCTGATGTGGCGCACTCGGCCATCAGCGACATGGAGACCATACAGCAATCGGCTGCACCCAAGGCCAATGCCCAGAGCAAGCTGGCCGCCCTCGAAAGCGATAACTTCTTCAATGATCACTCGTTGAATTTGTATGGCGACAAGAAGCCGGAGAGCAGCACCAACAGCAGTAGCGGTGTCAGCAAGCTGGACAAATTTGAGCTAGACGCTCTGGGCTATGAGACGATTGAGCCCATTGGCGGCACGCACAGCAACATAACCTCAATGTTCGCGGCCAGCAGTGATTATGACAAGCCCAAGGTGAGCAGCAGCAGCAGCGGATCAGCAAGCGCCTCCGCCTCCAATCGAAGCAAAAGCAAAATAAGCAACAATAGCAGCAATGATCCTGTTGCGGCACAACAAAAGTTTGGCAACTCCAAGGGCTTTGGATCGGATCAGTTCTTTGCGAGCGAACAATCGCCAGCTGATATTAGCGCGAATCTGAATCGTTTTCAGGGCTCCAGGGCCATATCCTCCTCGGACTACTTTGGCGATGGTACGCCGGGCGGCGGTATGAGCAATCGCAGTAAGAATTACATATAAATTAATTAGCAAATTATTGTAAAAGATCATTAATATATATTTAATCGCGCTTGCAGGCAGCAGCGGCGGTTACTCAACAGCGGTCAACTTCAATGCGCCGGATCTGGATGATGTGAAGGAAAGTGTGCGTCAGGGCGTCCACAAGGTGGCCGGCAGATTGAGCAATCTGGCCAACGATGTGATGACATCGCTGCAGGATAAATATGGTTACTGATAGCGGAGCCAAATCCAATCGCTCTCATCTCAAGCATATGTGCAAAACAAAACAAAAGTTATAAACAATTCCAAGCCGCTAGATGTGTAGAGCGTTCAGTTTAAGAATCGATAACCCCAAGATTCTTATATAAAAAAAGGAAAAACTGAAAAAAAATCCAATAATATAGACCACAAAGTTGGGAGTAGTGTCTTTAGTATCCATTTAAAGATTGTACAATTTGCGCCTTATATGCAGTTGAAAGAAACGTAAATTTAATTAAACCCATGATGATATCACAATTGAGGAACAACCATTAGCTCTTAAGTCGAATCGAACTACGCTGATGTTTTTTGTATGCCACTTTTGTTTTAATTTTTTTCTTTAATTTTTAAATATTATTATATCTATATGAAGGCATTTGTAAATTGCTAAGTTTGTAATCTTTTTGTTAAACTTTAAATTTTCGGTCCGTTTACTGCGTTTGATCTGCGTTTATTTTGTTCACAATTTGTAATTTTGAAGGAACAAAAGAGCATATGAAATAAACACGATATTCAATGCGTATGGCAAAAATATGAAACTATTGTTTATTATAATCAAAACTCTTTATTTTTTTTAAAACAGATAGAAATTTTATTAAAATGCGCTGAAAAACGTTGACAATTTGACTAATAGTTACAAGACTTGTTGTTTACAGACTCGGCGCAGACTTGCTGCAGTTAAGCAAGAATTGGTGGTGAATCTTCAAGTGGAATGATAAGAATCAGTCGTGCAGCATGCGGGCGGCTTTTTGGGGCAGCTGCCGCTTAATGGCGACGCTTGCTGGGACCGGGACGGACACGAGCGCGTGCAGCATCCGGGGAGCCGTAGGCGATGGCATGCGAGGTGGCTGAACCGCCCTCACCCGTGCTGAAGGAGTTGGCAATGGCGATGGCGCCACCGTTGGTGCCGCCAAAGTCAATTGGGAAGAAGGTGCCGGCAGGCAGAGGAGCGGGTTTCTTCGCGGGTTTCCCAGCTCCAGCGGCGGGCTTCTTGGCAACTGGACGGCGAGCGTTGGGCACGCGAGCGGGATGCTTGGCCACTGGCTTTACGGGTTCGGCGACGTCCACATCATCCTCTTCGACATCGTCGGCAACCGTGTTATCTGTCTCCTCGTCCTCGATGGTCGCGATTTGAGCCTCCTCAGCATCCTCGGCCGACTGGTCGAGTTCGACGATGACCTTCTTCTTGGCGGGCAGATAACGATTGACGGGAATGACGGGAGCAACGGGCGCAATTGGTGCTGGAGCGGGCAGATCCTCCTCCTCCTCGAAGGCGACCTGGACAACAGCGGGCTGCTCAGCAGTGGGAACAACGGGGGCAGCTGGGGCAGCTTCCTCGGCGGCAAAGTTGAAATCGCGTGGCACCTTGGCGGCATCGTCGCTCTCTGAAACCACAGCGGGCTGAGGTTCAAAATCGGCGGTGCTGCTGCTGCTATCGCCATCGATGGCAATCTGGACCACGGGTACATCATCGGGATAGGCCTCGGCCAAGGAGCTGGCACCGTGAGCACCGGCAGCGCTCAGGGTATCATCAGATTGGGCGCTCTCCGCGCTGCTGTCATCCACACTGAGTGCCACCTCGGTCTCTGTGTGATCGCAATCTTTGTTAGATAACCACAGAGAATATCGATTTGAGTTAGTTGGGATTGTTAGTTGGGACTGAGTTCGGCTGCCACTTACCCTTCAGATAGGTGCCAGTGGCAACGGATTCACCAGCCACCAGTGCGCTGGCTGCTTGAGTGGAGCGGGCATGTGTGCGTCCGGGTTGCACATACTGCATATACATAATCCTCTGCTGGGGTGCGGCTCCGTACCATTCGGCGGCAACGGGTTGCTGGTAGTAGGCCATTCCTGGAACAAGGTATTGCCGATCTTCAGTGGTGAGTGATATGGTTATGCGAAGGATATGTTTATGGAACGAGATGAGATGCGAGCATGATATGCGATGTCAAATTGAAATCAAATCTGAGTTACAAAATCGCTGAACTGGAATTAATATTTTCTCAAGTGTACCAAGCTGAAATTCAATGGATTCCTTCTGCATTACATGTGCATAGATAGATATTTGAGTTATAGTGAGAATATGCTAAGTTGTTTATAAATGATCCTTAATTGCTATTTATATCCTTGCGAAATCAGTGGCACTTGTGTTAAACTCACTTTTCCTGGCAGGCAGAGCATCGCCGCTGGCCACAAACCCGACGACGATCACCAACAAAGCAAACGCAACACTGAACTTCATGTTGATTTCGATGTTTTGTGTTGTGTTTTGATTAATTTCTTTATGTTAAATCCTGTGTAGGTGTTGGCAAATTATGCTAGTTGATGCTTGATTAGAGAAACGCGAACTGATCACAGCAGGAGCTAAACTTGACAGTTAAGTTTCCACCAAAGAAGTGATGGCTGAATAGCGCAGCGCGTTAGATTTATATACGAAATCAGATTGGCAAAATACAAAAAAGAGGCGTACAAAACGAGCATAATGAGCTGCGTTTTGCTAAAAACTCGGATATACCCAAAGTGAGGCCCCAGCTCCATCTGCTTAGTATGCATCATAGGCACTCCCTGGAGCTGAGTCGAGCCGAGTCGAGTCAAGTCGAGTCGAGACGATCCGAACGTGTTGCCTGAAACTGAATTTGCATTATTGAACTGCAGAGCAGCAGGTACAGTATATATCTTGTTGTGTGGATACGGGTGTCATTATATTCGGCATATTGCACGTTTCAGCTGTCAGTTTATGGATCTCCTAATGCCGTCAGACGAATATGATCCATTTCAGAAGGAATTTCTCAATTGCTGAACTACATTTTAAATGATGGCATTTTATATTCTTATTTGTCACGCGTTTTAACAATAACAATCAAATTTGCCAATTGAATTTTAAGGTCATTTCGTGAACCCCTCTTGAACATTGTATAATTTGTAGAAAAGAGTAGAAAACAAAAAACAAAAACAAGTACAAATCGAGGTTTTGCGGGTGCGTGTGCCGTTTATGGTAGCTGATAAAAGGGAGCCGCATAGAGAATTAAAATAAAGCCCAAAGACATGTAGTGCATAAATAAGCAAATAGCTGGCGAGATGGTCGCCAACCGAACGGAAGAGGAAACCGATGTGGAACTCTGTGATTCATCCTGTGATACAGATATAAATAGTAATTCTCGACCACCACCACTTTGCTGTCAGGTTCGCTGGAGTTTCTACTTCTGGCCTGGGCGCCACCTGTTTCCTTTTAAAAGTCAATTATTGCAGTTGCTAACCGCCCTCCCTTCTCCCTTCCGCCAGCGTCAATACGACGTGCATTCCATCATTAATTGAGCTGTGTCTGAGGCACAGTCTTAACGGCTGTTGCCTTGTGCTGAAGGCTCCAACTTTCAGCTGCTTTTTTTGCTGGCTCCCATTTGCAGATGCATTAATCATACGCAATGCGGCACCTCTCACATGGGTAAAGCTATACTTAAATTTTTTACATTTACTTTTTTCCTTTGAAAATCAACTGGCAATATGGCAATTTAGTAAACTTGATTAGTTTACTTTTTACTTTTTACCTTTCTAAGCAAAGATATGATAAATTGAAATAATGTTTCTATATAGACAGAAATAAGAAATTTCTTCTTCGTTTTATTCGCATATGCTTTTTTTGTTGCATAGAATATGATTAATTTGATTATTATTTTGTATATATTCGCAGGAAGAAGACTTCTGATGCCATTTACGATTGTGAAAAATAATTTGGTAAGTTTACCCAACTGAATTTGAATGCGTGTAACGAATTTATTTTCGTTCTGTAATTATTCATAAATTAAAGCACGTTGTCTGATTGAAAATAATAGAAACGGATTAAATTCCGAGCATGTAGCAACATATATAATTCGAAATTAGAAAGCTAAAGTGTCATGAATATTTAATAAGTGATGGTCAAGAAAAGGTTACCCAACTTTATGATGCTCATATTTAGATTATTAAGTGTGCTGTGTTGCAAGCTCTATTTGGTTTCTCTGCCTTGTGGCGCCCCAGACACATTATGAATGGGCATTTCTATTTATCCAGCCCGTTTTATGATTTTTGGACAAAACCCATGCCTAATTACCAACTTTTTATTCAAATGGCTAAAACGCTTGGGACCCAAAAAAAAAAAAAAAAAATAACAGGGGGGCATGTGCCCAGAATGTTAATGACTAGATTTAAGTGGGTTCTACGCAATAGTTTAGTCCACAAGATGCCGAAAAACGAAAGCAGAGCCAACACACTTAATATCCTGTTGAACACCTGTTTATTTGTTGCCGCCACTGGGCACTTATGCAAATCGCCGGCCACTTTTCGAGGCAGTTAGCATTTTACGTTTCATTTAATTCGCGCATTTAGAACACCCAAGACCATTAAAACGAACATCGAATGCACTAGATACCTCCAACCTCCTCGACAAATAGAACAACATGTTTTGTGTTTTGTGTTTTGTATTTCTAGCTGACAAATAAATATATAAATAAATATATGTATACGCACATAAACATGCAAAGTGAGAAGAAAACAGAGAAAAAAAACCCACTTAATGTACGACATTATTGGCGATACGCAAGCGGAATTTCAATGGCATTTACGCGGTGCTTAAAAAGCAATTTGGAGATAAATGTTCAGATGCCAAAAATCGAGCACCCGTTCTGGATAGTTTCTTTTTGGGGTAGTACACTATAATGCAAACCAATTGGGATGACATTTGGTTCAGACTTGAAGTCATGCATGCATGCATATATACATTTTATTATATTTTAATTTACAATTAAATGGCACATGCCGTTCAAATTGCATTAAAAATACGTAACTGACATTTAACACTTGGCGTGCGGTTTTCAACGGGCCTCATTTGGGTGGCAGGCAGCACACACAATGGTTGTGTGACCATGTGGCATGGAGCTGGTGAGCGACATTTCATCTCGACGGAGAATGCAATTAATCAGCGTAAATTAAAATAAACTTAATTTTATGCAGCCGTCATTGCGGTGAATGCAATTTAAGCAATCGTTTTCTTATTTTAAATCCCAAAACGAAACATTAATCGTTCAAATTAGTGCTAAGGTAGTAAAAGTAAATTTTAACTGAAATTCTATAAATATTGTATTGTATTGTAGCAAGTCTGCTATTCAAGTTTATCATTAAATTTCAATATAAATTTGTAGACAATTATTCGTGAGATTTGCATAAGCTTGAGCAACATATAAATGTTATAAAATTGTTTTTAATTGAAATAGAAACTACGCTAAAGTAGTTCGCAGTTGCATTACAATTGAAAACGTAATTGAATTAAGCCACGCAGGTGTCTCATTTTTCAAAACCCATAAATTTCAATGGAATTGCGTTATAAAAAAAAGTAACTTCACACTCGACTTCAACCACAGAGCGAAACTCTGCACAGCTGGTCACAGCAGTGATTAAGTGCAGGACAGGGTTCCACAACCAGTTCCAGTTCCAGAGCGTGGCCAGGATATGTGATGGCGGAGCAGGAAGAGGATTTCTAGTTGGACGGGCTCGTTTTCAATGGTGGTCAGCAGTGGTCATTTTTCTCGCTGCTTGTCACTTGAAAGCTGGCAATTAAATATTTGTATGCACTTGTTGTAGTTGTTGCCTATTTTTATTTTTAGTCTCTTTGTGGATATAAATTGTTCCGAAATAAAAATGCAACAGATGTTCTTAGCGTGCCTCCGGACTAAAGTTATCAAGGCGAGGCGCCACATGCAAAGCAGTTGCCAACTCCACCTTATTCAGAATTTATTTTCACACTCTCGAGGACAACTTTCGCAAGGGTGCCACATGGCCGCAGGTCCTATATATATATACATATATATATATATCTGCGCAGTCAAGATGTTGCCATTTTGCATGTCTGCAGCAGCTTTAATGGCTTCATATTTCCTACAAAATTAGAGAAGTTACTTTTGCTAACATTGCGTGGTGGCCACTCGGCAGTTGCAGCAACTTCTTCGTCCTCCACTCTGATCTCTGGTAACCTTTCGAGTTGTATTTTGCCGCCATGGGTCCAACTTTGCAACGCTGCTCATTATGTGCCCCGCACACCGGATACGGAAAGCAGAGTGCTGTCTACTCCATTAAATTGTAATTTTTGGCAACATTTTCGGTTTGCATAAATCTTGGGCCCGTGTGGTGTAGTTTCTTGCTGCCTTTTGGCTGGCTGTTACCCAAACAGTCGTCCCCAGTGTCCTTGTGCTGCACGCGCACAAACAAAACATTTGCTCATGTTTCAAGTTTATTAAAAAGTACTCAACATATTATGGTTACTTAAACTATTAAAATAACAATGCCGAGACTCTCTCACTCTCCCTCTCTCTCCCTGTCTCTGTCTCTCTTTCTTTCTCGGTCTCTCTGTGTGTGTGTGTGTGCCTGAGTGTGACATGTCCTTGGGGAGACTGTGCCATCGTTTGGCTGCCTCCTGCAGATAATGTGTAAATAATTTGAATGCAGACAATGAGTTCAACTGTTGGCAAGTGCCGCAGTTGCTGTTCCTGGACAACTGCATTGTTTCCGCATCCACTCAAAAAAATATATGACATAGAATATTGAGAATTGTCAGAGAATTATGACTTATAAATTACAAGCACGATACAACCTAACCTTATGATTTAATTGTATAAGTTAATTTTGGATAATAATATACATAAAATTCCCATGCTGAACATTTTATTTTTTCTAATTGAGAAAAACGAAAATTTCTGCTTGGAAGAGAAAATGTCTGAAATCTTTAAAAAAATATTTCTATAAGCTATCAATCACTACTATTCACAACTTTAATTGAAACTGCAATATGGGCAATCCCTTTAATTATTAAAATAAAGTCGACCCACAAAAAATAGAAAAGGAAAGCACATCAAGTGTGATGGCAGAGACCACGTACACTATAAATCCATTTAAAATGCACATTTGCATATGTCAAGTGTGAATGGAGTGCCAATGATGACACCTCCACCACTGCAGCCTGCCATTGCCCACTTTTGTTGATGCGTATTAAAAACACACTCAAATACTCGAAGCCCAGCTCCTTCTCCTTATCCTGCCCAACTGCCGCTGCCGGCTGCATTGCTAATTACGATGCAAGAGTTTTCATTACGTGGGCGGAGCTAGATAGACGGAATCACTCGAGTGCACCGTAATGAAATCTTAGCCAGGCGCTCGCTGGTCCTCCCCTAATGGCAAGCGCAAAATTAATTAGAAAATATTTACGTAGCACTTCAA